TAGTGGGGATTCGGGCGGAGATAAGTTTATCCCTAAATGACGAAATAATCGCTCCTTCGAGGAATAAGATCTATACGGTGGCTTCCTATTTAGTATTACCCGTAAAGGCGATCTATCTTTCAAAACGGGGTAAGAAGGCGGTAAACGATTTATCGGTTTATTAATAAATCGTGCGTAAGGCTTAGGCGGCCCGTGATTATTCTATAGAGTTAAGGTAAATACGATTAAGATATGCTATAAAGTCGTTAGGATCTATAAGCTTACCCGGCCTATCGTTTTTATAGAAGGCCGATACGACCTATTATACTTTAGGCCCTAGGTAATTATAGATCGTATACTAAGCTCGTATATTATTCTAGAATAAGTCGCTATTAATTATAAGCTTTTACCGTATCGCGTAGGCCCACGCGCTATAGTATACTCGCTTCTCTAAGAACTTCGCCGGGCTATTAACGGTCTTACGGGGTATCGCCGTTAAGGTCGGGGCGACTATTATTATTATCGGCTATAGCGTAGGCGATAAAACCGGTAATAGGGTAGACTCTATTAGTGTAAGGATTATCGGGGTCTATAAGGGAGCCGGGATATTCAGGTTAAGCGGTATTAGGTTCTACGGGGTAGGCGATCCTAGGAGCCGGGCTATAAGCTATTCGACTAACTAGCGTTATCGCTCGTCGGCTTTTTCTCTCGCGCGTTATCGGTCTATAAACTAGCGTATTTCCGAGTAGTATTTTTATATCGGACCGAGCCTTAAGTTAATATCGGTATATTATTTATAGAGAGGGCCTAGCCTTACGTTTAGGGCTCGGTCGTTTTCTTCGAACTATTAGTTCATCTACTCTACGACTTATTTAATTCTAATAGGTTATTAGGCGGTAGCGTTAGGATCCTAATCTATCGCTAATATAGCGCGTGGGTATCGCTAAGTTCTAGATATATAAACGACTGGTTATAGGTCGTGGCACTAAGTAAGGTCGTAATAATAGATTATCTAGAATTAAGGAAGGAAAAAGGAAAAGGAGAAAAGTCTATAGCGCTAGGCTAGCTATAAGGTAGCGATAACTTAGCGATATAGGTCTGTTAACTAAGCGCGCAGTCAGGAAGATCCGGAGTATAGCCGGATCCTCTATATCGGAGTCAACCCGTAATAAATAGCCCTAAAACGTCTCTATATTTACAGTATATTATCGCTCTTTTCCAGCTTATAACCCACGTGTTTATATCCTTAGGTATCGCCTTTATAGGCGAGATATGCTATTAATATAGAATTGGGGCTTTCTTACGGAGGTTTATAGAGGTTAGTCCTGTTTACTGGTAGAGGAGGGCTACCTACTTCCACGGCTTATGTATATCTTTGTTATTTAGCTACGCGAGGAGGTTATATAATATAGTGCAGATTATCGCTAAGATATATAAGGGCCCTTGTTAAGATCCTTCTGCTATGCGTTATAGTCGTTCTTTTCCTCGCGATATACGTGGCGGTCTTATAAATAACGCAGGCGCCCTTTATCGGAGACATTAGGAATAAATATAAGGGTAGTCTTTATCGGTGGTTCCTTCGTTACGGTCGTAGCCTTCTTATACGCGGTTATCTTCTTCTTTATACCAGCGGCGGTGGTAGTAGCGGTAGTAGCGGTAGTATTGGCATCCGGCGCGATAGGGTCTTAGCCTAAGAGATCGGTGGCGTTATCGCCCCCTATCATGATAGTAGAAGATGAAGTAGCCTCCTTAGCCTTAAGGTTAACGATAAGGGCTTTATATTTCCGAATATCGGGCGGCGAAGACTTACATAGCAAGTAGGCGTCGGCCTCCTTATCGCTTAGCCTTAGATTAAGATAGTCATCCTAGCAGGTGGCAGATTTGCCGCGTATTATGTGCTCCCACGGTGCCTAATCCCTCTAGTTAACGAGGGTGGTGATAGCCTTCTATTCGGCATCAGATACGTTAGAAGATATCTTTGCTTATTTATAAATCGATTAATTAATAGGTAGGTAGGTTTATTAATAGCTTAATTGCTCTAATTAGGTTGGTAGTAGTTATTTAAGAGTGCTTAGAAACGTGATTACGTTTATAGTAGAATAGAGTAGCATTTTAATATATCGTTTAGGCGTTATAAACCGGGCTTATAACTATCGCACGTTAAATAGCACTTTATATAATAATTATAGTGATAATCCTGATAGAGCAGAAAGCTCGTGTGTGTGTATTATGCTAAGTTATATCTGCGTGAGTCTCTTATGCCCTTAATCTGGGTGGTAGAGACTCTATTATGGGTACTATGTTATTTAGATTCTATCCGGTCTTTCCCGATATCTACTGAGGTCCAAAGCCCTTAGTCAGGCATAGTCCTATACCTATATGATATTTTGCCGGTTAAGTTATTCTAGGTTATGAATTAGGAGGTTTTTAGTCCGTTATTTCTCACTATAGCGGCCTGGCTAGGAGGCTCTTAAAAGGTAGAAAATAAGAATAAATAAAGTTAAGACTCTTAATTATCGAATACAATAACTGTAAAGAGTGAATATAATAAAAAGGGTTAGATTAAGAGGTTCTACAATTAATTACATTAAAGCCGTAAGACGCTGTATAAACCTATAGTTATAGAAGGCAGAATTAATACCCGACAATCCTACGTATATCCACCTTCTATGCCTAAACGCGTAATCGGCCGTCAGGTTATTTAACACCGAGGGAGGTCTATAGGACACTAAGCTTATAATAAGTCAGACTACTATATTCCGGCCACTCGCCTACTTTAGCCTACTTAACCAGGACGACTTACCTTAAAAACAAATCTATTTTCATCTATAACGAAGTTATTCTAGTTGGAATTCTATATATATAGATTTAAGTCTAGCCTTATACCCCTTAGGTAATATGCTAATTAGCTTAATTAACGCCTCCTCCCTCTATCGTGCCCTTATAATTACCTTTTTTTTAGTCTTTCTAGATCTAATTATACTTTTAACTAACTAAGCTAAAACTAACTTTCTACTATTAAAACGTCTTTTATATCTAATACCTTTAGTGCCTTCGTAAATAACCGCGAAGTATAATGGGTAATAGTATACGGGGTTTTTCGGCTAGAAGATAGCTCTCCCTATATCTCCCGGAGATTCTACGAACCCTAAGGCGTTACCTATTATTTTAGGCTAGTGCTAGCCTATTCTAAAGGAGTTATTAAGCGGTTACGGGAATTCTTACATAAGAGCTATAGGCTTAGAACTATATTATATAATTAACCGGCTATTACCCTAATACCCGTTATCCTACTTTAATATTCTTCGTAATAATAGCGTCTTTTCGTGCCTTACCGTAATAGGCGAGGAAATCCTACTGCCTAATTAGCGCACTATTAATAAGATATAATAGTTTCGCGAGGTATTTATAATAGGATACCTTAAAAGGCCTGAACACGGATACATTAAGCGGCTGGGTAATTTATAATAAATAAGGAGGTAAAAATAAAAGGAGGATATTACTCTAGTAATATTCCTATAAGAACTCCTCGGAGAAGTAGCTACTATAGCTATCTAGTAATAGTAGACGTGGTGAACCTGCTATATCTGCCTTTACTTTAGTATTAGCGTTACATATCTTTTTAAGCTACTTTACGGCTATTTTATTAGAGGTTTAACCGTTTTTAAAGGTAGTACAGCGCTAGCTATTTTAGTTATCTAGACCTTTAGAAAACTATTACTATTAGACTAACTTTCCTTTAAAGGTAATAAGCGGAGGTAAGGATTAGCCCTTAATAAAGATATACTTAATAATTAAGGTCTAGATCTAGGTACTAGGCGTTTTAACGTAAATACTCCTCCTCTCCACGTGCCCTACTATTAGTCTATTTATTCCTTACTTCTTTTATATCCCTATTTTATCTACATTATATCGAAATTATAGTAGAATAGCCTTAATCTTCGGTTACTCCAGTAGGTTAAAGAATTCCTATAAAACTCTAGCTATAACGCTTTTAGGATAGCAGCCCTTAATTCGTTTACCGTTTATAGGCTTTAAGGGGGGATTCCTAGCTAAAAGGCCAGCTATCTAATATCTCCTTAGAGAATATATATCGTTTTAAGTATATAAGATCTTCTACGCAAATTCCTTAACCTTAATATAGGAGGGTATAAGCCCTAATACGGCCTATACTAATATCTAATTAGTAAGAGATTACTTTTAAATAAGCGTAAGCTATTAAAGATACTTATAGGCGGTTTTCTTAGGTTAGGTATTATTTAAATAATCATAAAGGATGGTTCGAGGGATACCCTAAACGCGTAAAAAGTAGTAGATACTTACGCCCTATCGAATATTGTGGAGAGCGAGTTAAATATTACTTACCGTGTATTTTAGTATAGTAAAATAGAATATATACTTCGATAAGCGATTTTTAATATTATATTAGGATATTGACGTGTTTTCATTCGAAGTAGTGGGTTAGATTAAGGAAAAACAGGTCGGCTAAGGTAGGGGGGTGGCCGGATTAGGGTGATCTGACTTATAACATTATACCTTTGTAATGACAAGGACCCGTGGCAGAAATGCGCATCAGCAGACTCTCCACTGCTGACCTTCACTCCCCGCTTGTTGCGATTTCTCTCTCACTTGGCGAGCAGCAGAGCAGCAGCCATGCATGTGATCAACCTAAATTTGGCTCATCAGTCTTTAAGAACGGATTTGGCTGGAACCAGCGCATAAGGCTTGACTGTTCGGCGGCTGAAGGGTTCAACAGTTCAGACAGTCGTTTTGAAGATTGCTTATCCCCCAGAAGACCAGCCTACCTTATCAAGGTTCATATCTTATTTCGGGCCTTTTGTTTCATATTCATCCCGATCTACTATAGCCTTGCGCCACTTTGAGCTGCCTGCGATGACAATCATCCGACACCGCTGTCGTGGTCTCGGGGAAAATCTCGTCAACTACGGATACGACTCCTTGAAGCCTCGCGCCTTATCAGCACACTGCTTCAATTACTTCTACCACGACTGCCAGCTACCATGAACGATCTTCCGGGCACGCTCAAGTACATACAGTACGAGCATGGGCTTGAAGAACGATATCTTCCCGCCATCCGGTCTCTCATTGCTGGAGACTTGAGCGAGCCATATAGTATCTATGTGTACAGGTACTTCCTCTGTCAATGGGGCCATCTCTGCTTCATGGCATGTGACCATTTCCGGCGGCGTCTGTCCTTCCCGTGTCTGGACCGCGAATATGCTAACTAGCGATCGTTGCCCAGGCATTGGATCCCGCTGATGCTTCCCTGATCGGTGTTATTATATGCAAACTCGAAGTCCATTCGTCGCATTCGCCTCCAACGCGTCGAGGTTACATAGCCATGTTGGCAGTGGCGTCGCCCTACCGCGGCAAGGGCATCGCGACAGCCCTTGTCAAGAAGGCCATTGATGCTATGGCGCAGAGGAAGGCGGATGAGATCGTGCTTGAGACCGAGGAGACGAACGTGCCAGCCATGCGGCTTTATGAGAGGTTGGGTTTCCTTCGGTCGAAGAAACTTCACAGGTACTACCTGAACGGCAACAGTGCATATCGGCTTGTCCTGTTGCTTAAGTCCATTGATCCGGATGCCCTTATTGAAGATTCTGAGGAATAGATTTTTCAACCATAAACGGCGTGATCAACACTCATGCACCTTAGGGACAACGATGTGACGACCCGGCTCGGGAGAATTTGTGGGCTATCTAGCATCGCAACCAGACCATGTGCCTCGAGGGATTGGACCCGCCTGGGCATACCCATGCCCATCACAGTACGACAGAACACACTTATATCACCTCTCACCACCAGGGGCACGTCTTTGAACCCCACTTGGCACTTTCATGAACCCTTATGTTGGATGGAAAACACGGAATGCACGCCCCGGCAGTTTGTAATGTTGAGTCTCACGAAGGTCCCTGACCCAAAGCAGTTGGAACCACCACCCTAGAGCTACTTCTTCTGATGTCCAAGGAGCTGTACAATGAGGCTCTGAGCTGCCAGGGGTTCCCACTGGCAATCCCAAGATATGTAAAGGCGTCTGCGACGTTAGTACATACGTCCCCTTGCTGGATGGACTGGACGATGCATGGTAGAATAATACCAACCTGGCTTGTAGAAGATGGCAGGTCCATTAGCGTTGGCAATTCCTAGCTCCTGAAGTCGTTCCAAGACCCGAGCAACATCTTCCAGGTCATTGAAATCGGCCGTGTATACACAGATGAGCCGGTGCGCGCGCTCTCCATCGGCCGGCCTCGGAGCTACCTTGGCCGCTATACCTAGCTCGTTGTTGGCCGTGGCTTTGGCTACTACACCCCATACCCCATTCACTTCCTGGCGTGGGCAAAATAGCATCCACTGCCAAAATCTAGTCAGCTTCGAAGCCATAAGCGTCCTTGGTTTTCCGGAGTGGGGTGTTTCTATTTCTTGTACCTTGCCTGCCTGGACCCTACATTTATGAGCGAGCGTTAGAATGTCGGTAACGGCGTGCCTCTTCTCCTCCCTGATCCCTTTCTGAATTCTGCTGGGTGGCTGTGCTGTGTTCCTCGCTGCCTCCGTGAACGTCCTGAGCAGGTGCAACCTCTCTGCCCCACCCTCTATCAGACTGGCCAGCTGGGTGCCTTCCTCTTCAGGAGCTTCGTCCTCGTTGCCTCTGGAGGTTTGGTTCTGTGCTTCGTCATTGTTTTTCCGCCGAACGGAGGGGTTACAGATGTAGATCCAAGGACATGCGGAGGTGGCCTCCGTTGTGGCGGGTGGAAGACGAACTAAAAAGTCCTCAACTGTCTCTGCAAACTGCCACGCGTACGACACCCCGGCATATGGATTATAGAGCTCGGGGTAATTTGACGGCACAATCCCGTGCAGTAAGGGCTGGCGCACGCGGTTGGCGGCTTGTCGATCCCGTTGCCATTTCGCAGTGTCAAAAGTGCGCACTCTATTGCGCAGCCTCGCAACCACATCTTCACTCCCTATAGCATAACTAGAGTCAGTTCTAATCAGTGTTTATTGTACCTCCGCAGTACAAACATGCCGTAAAAGTCAGACTCGGACTCGTCCATGGAGATCGGCTCCATGGCTGGCGAAATTAGCCTGGAATGTGTGTTAGACTGTTTTAGTGTAATTGGTGCGATGCGAAATCAACATGGGCCGATATGAGGAAAGAAATCCCGGTTACTGGATCTGGCTTGTAAGACGTCTTTTCAAGTCAACATCAACATGGATGGAGCTTGGCTCCATTCCGACCGAGCCAGACCAGAGAGAATGCTGCTGTTTCAAGCACTCAAGGGTGCTAGACGACCTGTATTCAGCAGTTCAGGAATCGAGGGGAAGAAAGAAATGTGATTGTATCCAGGGGACGAGCTCAGATACCGAACGCGATGTTCTTCGCTTCACAATGCACATTTATTACAGTGAGGTACCTTAGTCAGTTGGGTGAGGAAACATTACCGGCTACCTGAACCAGGAAGGGTACTTTGGGGTTAAGATAAGGTACCTTAAGGTAGTGTAGGCATGAGGCTCTTATTAGGGACCTCACTTAGCAGGCGCTAGCTGATCGCCTCCTCACATAGCTTCTTTGTCTACCTACCTCCCTATCTCGGCCTCACTCAGTCGGAGCCTTCTTATCATATAATAATCATCTCTCAGAAATGAGCAGTCAGGGCAATGTTGTGACCTCAAGGCAGTCGCTCAAACTTGACTTGCCTCCCAGTTGCATTGAATTCTGCCCCGCCCACCCGAGATATTTCATCGTCGGAACATATAACCTTCAAAGAGACGAGCCGCAGGCAAACACAAACTCCGATTCATCTGACGATCAAAGCCTCTCCGATGAAACCTCACAACGCAACCAAAAACAAACTCGCAGCGGAACGCTGGTAATCTTTGAAGTTGACAGTGAAGGGACTATGTATTTTTTGGCTTTCTTGTCTCCTGGTTTCCGCTGAGCCAGTGGTGCTGTGGTTTTCCGGTCTGTTGCTAACCTGAGGGGTTATAGATCTGAGAAACAGGTTGCATCGCAACCTTCCGCTGTTCTAGACTTACATTTTTGTCCTCTGCCGGGGTGGCAAGACATTCTCGCTGTGGTCTCGAGTACTGGAACGTTGGCGATATTTCGGCTGGACCCTGAAACAAACGCATCGTCTCCATTACAGCACTTAGCTACGAGCACCATCTCCGATGTTCCAGAAGGCGTCCTGTTTCTCTCGTGTGCATGGCACCCAGGGCAGCCTAACATCATTGCTATTACCACCTCAACAGGCGAAGTGCGCCTGGTATTGCTGGACGACGCCCGGAAGATCGCCGATGGGGGCCATGGAGCTTTGATCACTCACACATTGGAAGCCTGGACGGTGGCTTTCGCGCCTCTTTCTATGGACTTGCCATCCGCTGGTGATGTTCACAGTGCGGTTACAGTCTTCTCTGGAGGGGACGATTCGGCGCTTCGTTACACGTCTCTGGGGAGCGCCGATGTTGAACCCGATAGACCCGTCTTCCAAGCTCTACACCCTCCCATCAAGATGGGCGGACACGAGGCCGGTGTTACAGCCATACTACCCACGTCGTGTCAACTGAAAGACGGTGCGCATGTGGTTATCACAGGGAGCTACGATGACTATATACGTGTTTCTGCCATTCAACCTCTGAATTCGGTATTGGGAACTCGCAGGCCGCGATGCCTCGCCGAATTGTATCTTGGCGGTGGCGTATGGCGGCTGAAGTTGATAATGACAGAAACAGAACAAGATATCTGGAAGGCGACCATCTTGGCATCATGCATGCATGCTGGGGCGAGAATTGCCAAGGTGGTTGGATCGCTGGATGGTGAAAACTGGACTGCAACGGTGCTCTCCCGCTTTGAGGAACACCAAAGCATGAATTATGGGAGTGACTTCCTCCCCGGGACGGGCAATGATATTCTTGTCTGCGTCTCGACAAGTTTCTATGACAGACTTCTTTGTCTTTGGGAGTCGACCTTGGACTGAAAGATAACTAGAACGTTATACTTAAATAGACGATATGAATGACATCTTCGCATCGTACCTACGAGCGTGAGCATAGCCAGTTCTTTCATTTTGCTAGTTTAGGCCGGAATAATTGCGTCTATCCGTATACGAGCAGTAAAGGTATTTCAGCTGGTCAGAATCCAACCCCTTATAAAATACCTTCCACATAATAGATGATACTTGTCGCACTGAAAACACGTGAACCTGTTTTCTGTATTTCTATTTGTTAGTACTAGACCCATATTCCTCGTTGGAAAAGGGGTAGATATATTTAGAACACCTATACCTTCCTAATATTCCTTTCCTTTATAAAACGAATATAATTATATATCTATTATATCTCTACTCCGGCCGGATCACACGCCCGTTAATCTAATAGTTATAAGCCCGGGTAATAGCAGTAACTACTAACTTCCTGCTAATCTATTATCTACGTTTATATTTATATATACTTCCGTTGCTAATTAAGGAGTATCTATATACCCAACTCTCTCGTATAAAAAAGCTCTTATTCGCTAAACCCCTACTATAAACTATATCCACGAAGCTTATAGTTACCGCTGAAGCGCTTAGTATCCCGTGACTAGAGTCTACTAGGTAATAGGCCGATTAGATCTTTTATATTAAGTCACACACGCAGGGTATAAAGGTCTAGGCCTTACTTAACCCTAATAGGCCGGAGTAGCTAGATAACTAACCCGAGTACGTTATACCTATATCTATTAACTAGCTACGCGAAAAATATACTTAGGTTATTAACAGGGAGTAGACCCCTCCTACTATATCGGAACTAATTAAGCTCGCTAAATTAAAAGGCTATAAGGTTATGGCTCGTAATTAAAAGCTTATCCGATTAATAAAGGCGCTTAATAAAACTGATTATATACTTAAAGCGACTATTAAGACCTCTGCCTATGAATAAGCCGTTAAGGAAGTAATTAAGAAGTACCCTAGTTATAAAAAGGGGAAATAAAACCGTTACTTCACGATACGATAAGTAATAAAGGAATTAAAGAAATATTTTACTCCTAGCTTACTATTTTTAGCTAAGGAAGTTCGTTAAGTATACAATAAGCATTTATAGGATACCCGAAAAGCTAACACGAAAGTAGTAGTATAGTATATAGAGTAGAATACTCTTATCCAGCGTTATCGTTAAAGTAAACGACGTTAAGGGTTCTATAGCTATCTATAACTTCTTTATTATAGTTAGGTAGCGTTTTACCCTGACTTAAGTAAAGGCTAAGATCCACGAAGTAATCCGAAAGGAGAATAAGGATAAAGTAATTAAGGATATCCTAATATATAGCCGCGAATTTAACGCGAGTATAAGCGCTCCTAGTCTTAATAGAACTAGGCACGGCGTTTACGCTACCCTAGGCGATCGCTCCGATAAACGTAACGATAATAGTAAAAAAGGGAAGAACGGTAAGGGTAAGGGGTATAAATACCCCTATAATAGAACCTATTCATAGAAGCCGGAGCTCTATAATAGAGTAGAGTATACTCTTATAGGTAAATACAAGTAATAGCTATCCGTGTAGATAAGCGATAATTATATCGAATAAATCCGGAAAAGGCTATACTAATAAAAGTAGAAAAGTCTACGAGAAACCCTATTAAAGAAGGGATAGGAAAGCGCCGGTAAGAGTAGCGATAAGGGGGACGGATACCCCTTAAAGGTTATTATAAATATCTTAGACCTAACCCTTATTTAGAATATAGGGGAAGTTGCTAGTATCTATATCGCGTTACGATCCGGTGCTTACCCGCTCTTATATAGTACCTTCTTAGATAACTACGGCGTAACTTACTTATTTAATTTAATTAACCTGCTTATTTCCGGATCTTTTATTAAGATAGACGGTACTATTAAATCTAGTACCACGGAATTCCTTATTATTAGTAAAGGCAAACGAATCTTTAAGGGCCTTCTTAATAGACTATTAGGTACTCCGAAAGTCGACTTAGAGCTTAACGATATCGTTATAGTAGAAGGATTTCACACGAATATTATCTTAGAAGCTCTATTATACAAGGTTAGGATCTAGTATTCGGGATATAACTGCTTATTACGATACAGAACGGCGGATAATAGCGTGGTTCTATTAAAATTGTTACGACGCTTTAATATAACTATTCTTTAGTATAAGCTAATTTTATCTTCTTTTTCTTACCCGTATATTTAACTAATCCTATAAGGCATAATTCCCGTAAGCTATAATTATATCTATATACTAGTAGTAGCTATCGATCGACCGATAAAGGCGCCGCTTCTAAAGCTATTTCGACTATCTTAAGATTCCCCCTATCCACGTGGTAACGAAAAGAGGCTATAGCACCTAAGGGCTAGCTACCTAGGACTAGAAGCTCTTCGAGCACTAGTCCGTAACGCCCGGAATATATTAATATAAGGCACTAAGCGGATCAAGTATAAGACCTATACTTAAATATAGGCTTATTAGGTTATATCTCGTCGACTATTAGATTACCGCTCGCCTAGGCTATTCTAGCGTATCTATTAGGACCTATAGGAATTACCGGAGAGTTATAACGGTATACTTTATCTCCATATTATTAAGGAGGAGTATAGCGGTTAGATTTATATACTACCTTTAGCGTTAAAAAACAGCGTTATAGTCTACAACGCCCTTAAAGCGTTTGAAAGATAGGTTACGTATTAGTCTAACCTCTACGTCTATAAGATACGGAGTAATAATAAGCCTTTAATTATTTATATAGCAGGGGATTTTTAAACCTAGCTATAGGCGCGCACGAAGGGTATCGATATAGAGATTGCGTCTTTATATACCTATAAACCGAATAGCGTTATCGAGAGGGCTAGCTAAGCTATCGTTATAAAGTCTAACACTATACTAAATAGCGTAGGTCTTCTAGGTTTTATATAGCCGGAGAGCATAAAAGCAGCGGCGTAACTTTATAATATAAGTCTATTATAGTGCCTATGTTAGAAGTCTCTAATAGAGGTACTAGACTTATAGTTTAAAAAACACGCGCCGCTTAAGATAAGAGAGTATTCCGCTAATCTACGGCTAGACTAGAGTGGTACTTATGCCTACGGTTACCGCGCCTATCCTTTAGACAGGAATAGGGAGGCTGGAAAGAAGAAAAATATATATAAGATTTAACCTAGGGGCTATATTAAGTATCTTATAGGATACGTTGCCTATAATATCTATAAGATATAGATCCCGTAGCTTCAGAAGGTTATAACGACGCGTAACGTGTAGTTTAATAAGCGGTTATTTTATAACTCGAAGTTTAAAGAAGCAGAATAGATTATAGAGACGGAGACGAGGAAGTAGCTTATAACCTACGAAGACTATAAAGATAAAGATACCGAATTTATCCTATAAGCAGAACGGCCCGCCGGCCTATTTAGTAGCGTACCTTCTAAAAATTGAGTAGAGTCTACGGGTTTAGACTCGGGGGTAGAATATTAGGTGCCCCTGCCTAGGAGATAAAGGCCGGGTACACGATAGGACTATAACGGGTTCCTGTATAGACGAGACCGGGGTTCCGTCTTAACGTGGCCGCGGCTACCCTAGGCCGATACTACTATACAGGGCCGTGGCCTAGGCTTAGGCGTAGATATCTGTTTACGATATCCGTTTAACTATACTAGTATTAGCCTAGGAGTATATAGTGCTTGTATAGTGCCCCCTCCTTAGTATAGAGAGGGCAGCGATTATTCTGATTCTTTAGGACTACCTATGTTCGGACTAGCCGTGACCACCACTTAATCCACGCCTATTCTCTTTTTAGACCCTCTCGCTACTACCTTCTCGCTCCTTATAACTACCTATCTAATATAGGAGTAGCTAGTACTATTCTAGAGGCGCCAGAACTACTAGATACTAATATAACTACTAATAGTAACGATAGGCTACCCGAACCGCCCGCGCTAATAGGACTCTAGACCCTATACACTATACCTAATCCGCCGAGCCGGAATAACCAGGCCTAAGGCACCGGGCTATAGCTATAACAGGAGGAACTCTTAATTAAGCTATTATCTATATATAGTACGGTATCCGAAAGAGACGCTAGTATTAACACGCTAGAGCTATATATACTAGATCTTAATATAGATAATCTGGAGCACTAAGGAGGAGCGAAGGATACGTAGACTAAGGTATAGGAACTAGCTACTCCTAATCCAGGTCATAATATTAACTAGCCCTCTATATATAGATCTCTAACTAACGACGCTAAGATAACTATATACTAATACAAGCAGAGTATATAGGTTAAGGATATAATAAGGGTTAGCGCCCGAATTATAGATCGACGTGCTTAGGACAAGACTATTCGGCTTAATCCACGGACGTACACGGTAGAGCTAGATATACCCTTAACGTATACGTTCTTCCTATCTAATTAATAAAAGGTACGCGATAAGCAGGTATAAAGGCTCCTATCCTTTTACTTAGTGATATTCGGAGTAGCCGATATAAAAATACAAGCCCGTTTAAAAGCCACGGAGGATTTAACACCGAAATCCTTATTTAACGGCAGGGTCTATCGCGACCACCTAAAGGCTATACTAAGGCAAAACAGAAAGCTTTATAACTATCCTATATGCGAATAGTTTAAAGAAGCGGCGTAGAAAAAGGGTAATAAGCTAATTAAGAAACGCACGTGGAGGGAAATTAATAGGGTAGCGGCGAAGTCTAAGCCTTTTCTACTTAAATAGATATTTACCTATAAGTTCGACTAAGGCGTGTATCTTAAGAGATATAAGGTAAGGCTATATATCTAAGGGGATCTCTAGGAGAGCTTAATAATTAAGGAATCCTACGCAGTAACGCTTACTACGAGGTCTTCTTATAGTATTATAGCTTTAGCTACTTAATTTAACCTAGAGATTAAGTAACTAGATATCGTTAAAGCCTTTATGAACGCTAAGAGGAATAGAATAGATACGCCCATTATATACGAGCTTCTAGATAGATTTAAGTAGCTAGATAAATGCTTAGAGCTTAATAAAGCACTCTACGGCTTATAAGGTTTACCTCGATTA